AAAAAAAAAATAAATAAATAAATAAAATAAAATAAAATAAAAACACACAAACAATAGAAAATTAGCACAGTACAGAGGCACAGGCCTTTACTCCCAGCTACTTGGGAGGCTGAGATGGGAGGTGCCTAGGACCCCAGGAAGTCAAGGTTGCAGCGAGCTATGATTGCATCACTGCATTCCAGCCTGGGTGACAGAGACCCTGTCTCAAAATTTTAAAAAGTATAAAAAAACTAAGTTGGACCGGGCGTGGTGGCTACTCTGGAAGCTGAGGCAGGAGAATCACTTGAACCCAGGAGGCAGAGGCTGCAGTGAGCTGAGTTCATGCCACTGCACTCCAGCCTGAGTGACAGAGGGAGACTCCTTAAAACAACAAAAACTAAGTCATTTGTGACTACTTTTTAGCTATTCCCTCTTTTTTTTTTTTTTTTGAGACGAGTTTCGCTCTTGTTACCCAGGCTGGAGTGCAATGGCGCGATGTCGGGTCACCGCACCTCCGCCTCCTGGGTTCAGGCAATTCTCCTGCCTCAGCCTCCTGAGTAGCTGGGATTACAAGCACACACCACCATGCCCAGCTAATTTTTTGTATTTTTAGTAGAGACGGGGTTTCACCATGTTGACCAGGATGGTCTCGATCTCTTGACCTCGTGATCCACCCGCCTTGGCCTCCAAAGTGCTGGGATTACAGGCTTGAGCCACCGCGCCCGGCCCTCTTTTTTGTTTTTTAAAGACACAGTTGGTTAACGTATTTTCATAGTGGCTTTAGTCCTTCATGCACAACATGGTGTCCCTAGGAAAGTCTCTGGCATTGAGCACAGGGTTGACCGTCACCCTCTGGAGTGAATGGGGACTAGAAATGAAAAGCACTTATCTTCTGTGGGGCATTGACATGAAATTGCATATTCCACCCTGGCAGGGTTTTGCATTTCACATTGTCGCTTGCATCCTGTTCCAGACAATTCCAACGTGTGTTAATTCAATTCCTAAAACTTGCCCTTCCTTTTTTTCCTTCTTCTTTTCCTTTCCCTTCTTCCTTTCCCTCCTTCCTTTTCTTGTCCATTTCTTTTCGCTTTTTTCTCTTGGTTTTCTCTCTTCTTCTACTTATCTTTCTTTTCTTTCTCTCTTCTCTCTCTGCTTCCACAGAAAGCAGGAGGGACTTGAAATTCATTTTAATAGAAGGAATGTTCGTGGATATAATCACCAACCGATTTTACTCTGCGTAGGCAAAATCTGTTTCCAGACCGCTGAGCGGATCTTGCCTCCAAAACCCTGAAAACAAGCACAGTGCAACATCATTGAGGTACAGCCAGATCTATCTCACTAGGGCCAAGAGGATTGCGGCCTCAAGTATGATAAGCAGGCCTGCCTGGGGCAACAACATTGCAACAGCATTGGAGGGAGGCGAGTCAGGCAAACTGAAGCGCAGGCCCCTCCCCGGCCTCGTCCCGGCCAGCCTAGGTCCCACCCCACCCAAGTACCAGCCAGCCCAGGTCTCAGCCCGTCCCGGCCTCTACGATGCACGATCAATTTCCTGCAAACCCGGAAGCGGATCGCTGGGAGTGAACGCCTAGAGCGCAGTTTCCGGTAGAACCGGAAGTCGATCGCTTGGAGAGTGTTTCGCGGAAGCGCGTGAGTTTCCCTTTGTCTAGACTAATTCTAAGCTGCCCAATTCTTCTGGGCTTCTATACCCGGGATATGAGTGGCAGGCAGACCTGGAAATCCCGGCACGGCTTCCTCCACCCAGAGTAAACTCAGACGTCCTTTGAGAGTCTCGGAGTCGCTTTCCTGCGTGTTAAAATCGCTTGGAGGCTGCTCCTGTGCCCGGTCTTTTTGCCCTATGGCCATGTAGACATCTCCTATCGTGGAGATTTCCTGCTTCAAATTCTTTACTAATCCCTACATACGCCCCGTACCACCTAAAGTCTTTACCCGCGAGGTGGATTCAAGTCTCTCTGGTCCCCCAGCCTCGGCCTTCTTGGCCCCTGGCGCGCGGCGCCCTAACGCGGCACGAGACGCCGCGTACTCTGCCGGGTTTCTGCAGACTCCACTCCTCTCCTGGCCCACTCCTGCCTTTTTCCTCCTTGATCTGGACCCTGTGTTCCCCAGGCCTCCCTTTCCCAGCCACCGCTTCTCCTGACCCCGAGCGTCGGGAGTCACTTTTATCTCCTGACATCCAGTGTTCTCTGGAGCCAGCGTCCAGCGCACTGAAAATGAGCTCTTCCGGAGGTGGGCATTTTACTCCAATCTCCTCCTTGTGAATGTGTGGAGAAAAATAGATGGAGAACGAGTCAGAGGAATAGAGAAATTTTGAAAGAGAAATGAAGAATGAGAGACCCATTAACAGACGGCAAAGTAGAAGGTGAGTGAGGGGTTTGCAGAGACAGTGAAAGAAGGTGCCGAGAAAGTAGCAGGGGGAGAAAAGTAACTAAAAATGTAGAGAAAACTGGATCTGTAGAAAGACAGAAGTTCAACAAGATAGGGAAGGCTCCTCAGACAGAGAGGGGGAGGGATTTGGAGTCAGGGCAGACAGAGCAGCATGGCCCTGGGACAGTCAGAGGGGGCAGCTGGTGACAAGGAGAGGAGAGGGAGAACCACAGCGGGGGGAGGCCTGGTATCTGAGGGTGCCAGAGAGTGGGGACAGGGGGTGTGTAATAGGGAAGATGGAACTTTACAGGGAGAGCCCAAGGGGAGCTGAGTTGCGGGAGGAAAGAGGCAGAAATGTATGGAGGTTAGGGACAATGAAAGAGCAGAAAGAGGAATAAGAAGTGAAACAAATTGTAAAAATGGCACAGAACAAGTGGGAGAAAAGGAATAGAGGAAGGAAGGGGACAAAGAGAAGAAGAGAAGGGGCTCAAAATGTACAGAATCCTAGGGGAAAATAAAGAGAAAAGAAGAGCTGGGGGAGAAAAGATGAGAATGAGAGCTATGTACAGAATGAGGGAGGGAAACAGTAGTGAGAAAAGAGGGGGACTCAGGTTACAAATGAATGGTCAGTTGATTGGAACTTATGATTAAATTGTGGCGTATTAATTTGTTTATAATATAAAATTTGTCTAAAATACATGAGGCCTCAGACCGTGTCTCAAGTGTGTAATCCCAACACTGTGGGAGGCTGAGGTGGGCGGATCACTTGAGTTGAGACCAGTCTGGCCAACAAGGTGAAAACCCATCTCTAGTAAAAATACAAAATTAGCTGGGCAGAATGGCCTGCACCTGTAATCCCAGCTACTTGGGAGGCTGAGGCAGGAGAATCGCTTAATCCGGGGGAGGCAGAGGTTGCAGTGAGCCTATATCACACCACTCCCCT